AGCGATGCCATTCAAACCAAAGAAGATGAACTTAGACTCAAAGAGGAAAATTGTAGGGCACTAAAGGATCAACTTCGGCAGATGTCCATCCATATGGAAGAATTGCAGATCAACATTTCAAGGTAAATGAATAAAGGTATTTGGTTTCCTCATGAGGTAACTGGTTCTTCCAGAAGAAACTGGAGGCAAAGAGAGTCTGTTTAAACTGTTTCTCTAAATAATACTTTTGACTTAAATTCTCTTAGAAGATAGATCACTTTTATAATATCATTTTGAAGCTCCAGAATCAGTAATACCTCTCACCTTCTGTATGCCTTCACCTCTGATAGGATTTCTCGTTGTTTCCCATCCCAAGTAGAACAAAATTCGAGCAAGTATTACTTTTTAGAGTATAAAAAATCATGTCAACAAAATAAATAATAGAGTTTGCAGTTTATTTAAATATATAAATCCTTAGGTTCAATATGCCTTTACTATAGAAAATTAAGAAGACTAGTATATAATACAGAAATACATTTTCATTAAAAAGATGAAAACTTTAAATTATAAATATCTAAGTGACAAGAAAGTATATAAATATTGGTTTCCTTGTAGGTCTATATAAGGTGACCAGATTTTAACATTGGTAAAGTGGAACAAAAGCTGGACACCATTGATAAAATTCATATCCTGGCAAAATAGCCACATGGCAGCCGAAAACCATATACCCTAGCTTGTCGTGCATTCTTTCCAAAAATCGGGACCTTTTTAAAACACCACGGGACATGGGAAAAATTGTTCAAAATTGGGACTGTCCTACCAAAAGCGTGATATCTGGTCACCTTAATCTATTAGGTAGTTTTTGTTCTTTATGCACCAAGTAGTTCCCATTAAATTTTTAATTCCTCATCTTTGCTTTTTCAGGCTTGACCATGACAAGCAGGCCTGGGAGTCCAAGGCCCAGACTGCGGCTCAGCTGCAACAGAAGGTCTGTGATACTCTACAGGCGGAAAACAAAGAACTTCTCACCGAGCTCGAAGAGACTCGCAATCTGTACCACAATTCTCAGACTGAATTAGCGAAACTGGAATCAGAACTTAAGGTTCTCCAGGCTCAGTCGACTGATTTAAATAACTCTTTAGAAAAATGTAATGAAAACAAAGAACATTTGGAAAAGCTGGTAAAACGTCAAGAAACTGATATCCAGCATTGTAAATTCTGTTATGAACAGCTGGAGACTGATCTTCAAGCCTCCAAGGAACTGATCAATAGACTACATGAAGAAATAAAAAGGAAAGAGCAGGAGCTTATAAACCTGCTTTCTGCCAGAGAAGAGGCAATACAAGTAGCTATTTCAGAATTGCATCAACAGCATGATAAAGACTTTAAAGAACTGGAAAGTCAGCTGTCACAGAAGGAAGAAGAGAACAGAAACATTGTTGACAAAAACAATCAGCTTGTCGAAACACTGAACACCATCAAAAAGGAAGGCATTCAGCAGAAGGCTCAGTTGGACTCTTTTGTTAAATCCATGTCTTCTCTCCAGGATGACCGAGATC